CTTTCACTGCCTATCAGCAATAAAGCTAACATCTCCGTATTCACGTATCTGTCTACTGTGTCCTCATTCTCAACTGGTTTCAAACTTCAGAGGAGAACAGGCTCTTCTTTTATTCGCCCCGTAGAACCTCCACAGGTAACATAAAAGATCAGTGTGGAGAACCAACATCCCCCTCGTAGGAGTTCTAGTAGGAAAAGCAGGAGGTCAAAGTGAGAAAGTTGTCAAAGAAATAATTCAAGAAAGTTCGTTAGAATTAAAACGTTGAGGCTCCAAATTCAGATGACCTGCGAACTGCTCAGCTTTCCACTGAAGAATGACCCAGCACGCACCATCATGAAATTTCAGAGTACCAGGGAAGGAGAGAAGGTTCTGGAAGCTACTAGAGAGGGAGAAAAATCACCTACAAAGAAACAAGAATGAGCATGGATCCCACTCATCAGCTGTTAACATTCAACACTGGGGGGACGCCAGGGTGATGCACATGCTCCAACTTCCAGGGGAAATTTCCTTCATCCAAGAACGGTAGAGTCAAACGATCATCGGTGTAAGAGAGTGGAATAAACCACTTCCAGACCTGTCCGTGTCAGAACATTTATCTCCTACCGCTACCGTGTTAGGAAATGCCATAGAAAGTGAGCAAAGGATCCAAAAACAAGACATACAGAACATCTCCATAGGAGCCTTTTTCATTATTCTCAAATAAAATCTTATGCAACTCTTTCTCTCTGCCTACGGGTTGGCTTTTCTTCTTATAACACAAACTCGTGAAATTCAAGGGTCTGTCCCTGAAAATGCAAGTCGTCCCGAGGAACATGGGGTCAGTGATGGCCGAGTCAGTCAAGCACCGAGCAGGTGCCTGGTAGGGCTGGATCCTGCTCAGGCAGAAGGAATGGTAAAGGATCCTGTCTTGGCCCCAGCAGTCTGTGAAGGAAGGTCTTCTCAACCCTAGCGGTTGTGTGTAATTCCATCTATTCCAATCTGACCAAATAAAATGTGGGATGGATTACATGAAATCCAGGGAATGGGAGCTGTGACTTTAATCCCATCTTTAGCAACTAGAGCAAGGGCTCAGGACTTCTCACTGTGGCTCCAGGTCCCTTATCCCAGTCTCAGAGCTCGGACCAGTAAGAAGCCTCAACCCCGGGTGACACGGCACGGTGAGGCTTTTCCTCTGGGGAAATATATTCGAAACCCAGGAAGGTTTGAAGCTAAATGTATAAATGACAGAGTAAACCAAACACATGGTATTAATGTTAAATGTGAGAGCAATCTGCATTTGGTATTAGAATGTGTAAGGAAATTTGGTATACTAAAGAATTTGAAGTGAGCCTTGTGATATCAAGATAAAATCTAAAATCAAATACTTGAGTTTTAGACTTGTGGTTTCTGTTGGAAGGTGTAAAATAATTTGATGGTTTTGGAATTAAGAGACCTGGAGACTCATTATGAATATTTAATAATTTAACTTATTGGCTTAGGTTTTGCTTGCCAGGTCAGGCACTTTTAAATACCTAAAATAAAATACATTGAGTGTGTAATTTAAAATGTTTCTGAAGGGGCACCTGGGTGGTTCAGTCGGTTAAGCATCTGCTTTCAGCTCAGGTCATGATCTCAGGTTCTGGGCTCAAGCCCCACATCGGGCTCCCTGCTCAGTGGGGAGCCTGCTTCTCCCTCTCCCTGCTGCTCCCCCTGCTTGTGCTCTCTCTCAAATAAATAAATAAAATCTTAAAAAAAAAAAAAAATTCACCTTGAGGGGCACCTGGGTGGCTCAGTTGGCCGAGCATCCAACTCTTGGTTTCAGCTCAGGTCATGATCTCAGGGTTGTCAGTGTGATTCACCCTGCCCCCACATCTACACCCCGGGGCCCGGTAGGCAGCTCACACTGTGTCCCAGATCGGGCTTTTTCCCCTTCCCTTTTCTACCCTGCTTGCAAATCCACACCCCCTCTGTCTTCCTTACTCACTCAATCTACCCACTTTTTGGGCCACACCCGGAGGCCTCCCTGTTCCTGTCGTCAGTCATGGTCTTCCTCTGAGACCTACCTTCAGTCCACCTCTCCCCGTTGTTACTGCCTCCTCTTAGGGGCAGTGGGGGGGGGGCGGTGATGATGGGGGCACCACCTTTGTGGCCTCCCGGGCTGGTGCTTCTGCCCCGTCTGTTTGCTTGACGAGTGTGCAGTCCGGGTGGGCTGTACTGTGGGTGTAGTTGGCACGGCCGATGCACTCTCCTGGACAGCTTGTCCGGGACCCCAGCCCCTTGGCACGTGCACCCTAATGTCACTCGATCTCAGGACCCTGGGATCATGACCTGAGCCGAAGGCACTTAACGACTGAGCCACCGGGGTGCCCTTAATTACCTCTTTAAAGACCCTGTCTCGGGGCGCCCGGGTGGCTCAGTTGGTTCAAGAGCCAGAAGGCTGATGTATGAAAGAAGAAGGCTGGGGGAACAGGAGAGAAAGCAGGGGCTAGATCCTGGGGGCCCCCGAAGGCACGGAAGGGGTTCCCGTGTGCTGCCCCTCCATGAGGTGGGATGAAGTTAAACCAGGAAGTGATGTGGTCTGATTTTCAATTTTAAGGACACCCTGAGGATGGACCATGACTGACGACAGGAACAGGGAGGCCTCCGGGTGTGGCCCCAAAAGTGGGCAGATTGAGTGAGTCAGGAAGACAGAGGGGGTGTGGATGTGCAAGCCGGGCAGAAAAGGGAAGGGGGAAAAGCCCGATCTGGGACACAGTGTGAGCTGCCTATAGGGTCCCAAGGTGTAGATGTGGGACAGGGTGACTCACACTGATCCCAGTCCCTGAGAGCTCCTAGAGGGCCAGCCCTCCCTGGCAATGGGCTCTGCTGGCCAGGGCTGTGTCACCTTCCCAGGCCCCTGCATTTCTGGGGGTGGGGGTACTGGGAAAGGGAGGGGGGGCAGGAATCCCCCCTACAAACCTCCAAAACAGCCCCTCCCATGCCAGAAAGCCCCCAGCAGTTTGGACTGTCTCCCAGGAGTCAGGACACCCCTGCCTGACTCACCTCCTCCACTGAGGGGCGGGCGGGGAGGGCCTGGCAGGTTTTTAAACTCTGGACTTCTCCCCACTCCACCGTCTGGGGCCCCACCAGACCCTGGCCACAGAGGCTCCTTCTCCCTGCCTGGCTTATCCAATGCATGGGGGCGAGGGGGGGCGGGTGAGTGATGCTAAGGGAACACAGATGATGCTCTCACAAGGTCACAAGGACGCCGGGAGCTGGAATGGTTGGAATTGCCCACCTCCTTGGAATATTAAAGATGTCAGATGTCAAAGAGGCTGTGAGGATGACCGTCATCGGGAACCTTCCTCGATTCTTCAAGCCACGTTGCTTCTTTTTTTCTTTTTAAGATTTTGTTTATTTACTTGACAGAGAGAGACACAGCGAGAGAGGGAACACGAGCAGGGGGAGTGGGAGAGGGAGAAGCAGGCTCTCCGCCGAGCAGGGAGCCCGATGCGGGGCTCGATCCCAGGACCCTGGGATCATGAGCCGAGCCGAAGGCAGACGCTTAACGACTGAGCCACCCAGGCGCCCGAGCCACGTTGCTTCTGTCTTCTCGACGTGGCCACAGGATTCTGTGGGCCAAGTGTCAGATGCCCGCGGCTCGTGCTGGGAGAACAGGAACACACCGGTGAGAGGCACACAGGCTCCCTCGCAATGAAGGAGGATGTCCAGGGCAGGTTTTCTGGAGAAGCCGGTGGCTTGGTGGCTTGGCTGCCCTTGGGGACCCCAGTCTGAAGCCTCAGCCTCCCGACTTTTCCCTAACGTCAGGGCAGAACAGACTCTGGATCCACTTGCCACACCATCTAGTGTCCATTTTCATATACTTGTGTTCGTTTTAATATAAAAGTAATTTCAAATGAAATATTACTGAATCAAATGGAGTCTCCAGGAGGAAAAAAAAAATGCACCTGACTCATTACTACGTAATAATATACTCATAATAGTTTATGCGCCAGGCCTTGTATGACATGCTCTACGCCCACGACTTCAGTTAAGCCTCATAATGGCCTGGGGAGAAGGTCCTGCCATTATCCCCATTTTCTAGATGAGCAAACTGAGGTTTGGAGAAGTCAAACAACTTCCCTGAAGTCACTCACAAGTCAGGGTCAGAGTCAGGTTGCAGAATGCAATGCTCTTGAGGTTATGTGCCCTGGGGGTGTGTCCTGAGGAGCACAAGATAAGAAAGTTCAAACTCCCTGGAGTCTGTCTACCAGCTTCCCCATCCTTGTGTTGTGTAGCTTGCTCTGCCCTGCCCTGCCCTGCGGGGGACTTAGGTAGAACTCGTGGGTGGAAGGAGAAGGGGAGGCAGGATTCCAGCCCGAGAGGCCCTGGGGAGATCACTCCAGCCACATCTCCCCGGCTCCCTTTTGTCCTGGGCACCTGCCCGACACGCTGTGCGGACCAGGCGCCACAGGACTCTTGAGACCCCGGGCAGAGAGACGTAGGACTGTTGGTGGTCTTGCTCAGTGCTGTGTTTCCACCACTTTGACGAGCACTAGGTACATAGTAGGCTCTCAAGAGATGTTAGTTGATCTAAGGACTTTGGTTAGAGGAGATAATGTTTAAATGACTGTGGTTAGGAAAAGCCCCTGGAGCTCTCCCACACTGCTGGGGGTGCTGTTTGGCAGCAGCTGCTAAATCTGGACACACGAGCCGGGAATGCCAGACCAAGGGGTAAACCTGACAGAAATGCACCCCCATTCTCACCAAAATATATGTTCAATGTCCGTGGTGGCGACTGCCCTTGGCAGCACGGTGGATACACATTCAGGGTGTCCTCACACAGTGGGACACTGTGCAAATCTGGGGGACTCTCACCCTGGGCGAAGAACACGAGAAGCCAGAGCACGAACAGGGTGTTCCATTTACTCGAGGACAAAACAGGGCAACACTAACCTATTCCGCTCGAAGTCACAGAGCGGGGCCATGACTGAAAGGGGGACACCGCGGGGCTCTGGGGGGCTGGTAATGATCTTTCCAGATCGCGTTTCTGGTTGCACATGTGTTCAATTTGTGCAATCAGAGCTATGCACGCGTGAGATCATAGAAAAAAAAAATTTTCTTTCCTGCCCCGGGTTCCTGACGTGGAGCTCCTGAAAGCCTTGTAAACTCCCAAGTGGCCAGAACACCAGGAGCCTCATTGGTCCTATCGAGGGGACTCTGGGTGGGCTCCTGGCTGGCTCCTGGCTGGCATCTGATCCGCAGAAGGACAGGGCCCAGACTGGAAGCTTGGAGTTTTCAGCCTTGACCCCCGTTCCCCAGAGAGGGGAGAGGAGCCCCAAACAGTTAATAATCAATCATGTCCTCACAGGGACGCCTCCGTAAAACCGCAATAGTCAGGGAATGGGGGTTTCCGGGCTGGTGAACACATCCACCCGGGGGGGGGGCAGGTGACGCACCCCAACTCCACGGGGACAGAAGCTCCCGTGCTCAGGACCCTCCCAGACCTCGCCCTGCTCACCTCTTCCTCTGGCTGCTCCCCGGTGGCCTCTGTCATGTCCTTTGATAAACCAGTAAATGTGAGCAAGCGTTTCCCTGAGTCCTGTAAGCCTCCATCACGAACCAACCAAACCCACGCAGGGGGTGGTGGGACCCTCCCATCTAGAGCCAGTGGCTCAAAAGCACAGGGGGTCCTGGGCTTGCAGCTGGATCTGGAGGAAGGAAGGGGCAGTCTTGCAGGACTGAGCCCCTGACCTGTGGGGTCTGACGCCACCTCCAGGTGGACACCCAGCTGGTGTCGCAGAATTGCTGCGGGGGAGAAACCTCCACACACTTGGGGACCCAGAAATGGCAGAACTGGGGTTTCCCCTGCACGGGGAGGAAAAAAACCCGAGTTTTCCCATTTTGGGACATTTCTATAAAACTTCTTTCCATCCCCGTTAGAGGCATTGCAGGTGCCTTCGTGTTGGGGGGCGGGACTCTCTCTCCGGTGAAGAAGCTGGGTCTGTCTTTTCTGTCTCTCAGCTCCCCAGACGCGGGATGACAGCGCCACTGCATGGTCACAGCTGCGGAAGGCTCCAGTCGTGGGGACCCAGACTCTCCTGCTGCCCACCTACTCGGTAATACCACACCTCCCTCCCAATAACTGAAGCGAAACTTTAAACAGTCAGGAGGTCATTCTTAGAGCTACAAGAGCAACTATTTTCGTCTGATCAGTTTTTGTGTTTCTTAATTTGTGTTCACTTGTTCTAGCCGGAACCCTGTCACTTTCCCGATACTCTGAGACAGATCAGGGATCAGTTAAAAGCTTGCAAAGACCCTGACGGTGTCAGGTCGCCATGGTATCAGAAGGTGATAGTTTCTCTCCCCCATTCAATCCCCGGATCTATGGAACTCGGGGTTAGAAACCAGGACAGTTGAGTTTCTAAGTTCTGTTTGTAAAAACTTGGTAGAAAGAGGTCCCTTGGGCTTTACTTGCCACAAAAGGACACAATGCACCCTACAACTCCTACCAGACCTTTGCTTCCTTTCTCTGTCTTAGTAAAATTAGGAATGGGGGTAGAGGGGGGTCCACAGGGACCCAGCCACTCTACTACCTCCCCACGGGGCTCTCCCAGGGCAGGACAGACCCCCTGGCTCCCAGTCTGGGGCGACAGCCCCTCCCACCAGGCAGGACCACCTGTCCCACCTGCTTCCCTGCAGGTGCTCCCCCCCAGCACCGCCCTGGGGTGTCTTGGCAGCTGCCTCCTGGACAAACTGCCTCAGTGAAACCTCATGGCTGTTTCCTTAAAGGTTAGGGGCAGGTGCAAGCCAGCCGATCCCAATTTTAGAGCTTCACTCAGCAAGTTTTTGAGACAAGTTCAAACTGGTTTTGTGGCTTGCAAACTGGCTGGAGCCAGAAGCAGAGAAGACCTTGATCTGGGAGGGAAGCGGGACTCAGAGGCTTCCACCCCGCTCGGGCCTCCACCCAGAGTCTGTTGGTCGCTGGCAGGCCGAGGAGGGGGCTGCCCTTCTTGCACCCCCTGCCCAGAAGGTATGCAGAAGGGCCTGGCTGCATGTCCTGCTGCCCGGTCCCTGGCCCACAGCCCGCCTCCAGCCTTGGGGACTTCTGACCTCTGTGCAAGCCCCGCCCTCTCCAGACTGGGGCTCAGCCCTGCGTGGGTGCTCGGATCCCCATCTCTGGGCCCCGGGTCAGACGTGAGTGAGTCTTCCTCCAGCCCACCCTGAATATAAGCCACCCCCCAGATCTCACTGTTTGGTCCACACTTGGTGCCAAACGAGTCCTGCCTCCGGGTTCCCGCTTGGATTAATCTCCCAAATCGTTCCCCACCCCCCTTGCATCCACACACCTCCTCTGGCACCCATCCCCTGACCCCTCCCCTGCCCCAGCCTCCTTGCCTCCAGGTACCTCTGCTGCCTATGACCCAACCTGCCAATAGCTTTGCTTCTAATTCACTTTTAATGATGAAACATGGCCCCTGGTTATAGGTGCATGAACTTGTTTTGTTTGCCCAAGCTGACGGGTAAAAATTGCTCATACATTCCCTCTGAGGGTGAGCTTGCGAAAGACTCTCGCTCTGCCGGAAGCCGGCCAGGCTGCCCTCCGCAGAGAAGTGAGAAGCCAGCAGCCTCAGGCGGGGGATGGGAGGCAGCCCGGCCCGCCCTGTCCAGGATCCTCTCGCGGATCCCGCGGCTGGAGACATCGATGTGGGCACTTTTCACAGGGGCCACAGCACCTCTTGGGAATTGAAGAGACGGATTCGTCAACCATACCTCAATAAAGCTGACAAAATTAAAGGTAAAATCGATGTCAACAAATGAGAGAGACCCCAGTCCCTTTCCCTTGGAGGTGTAACGTCTTCAGAGCCTCCCTAACGGACACAGATGGCTTCGGGGAAGGCCTGCTGACAGGGCAGGGAGCCACACGGCCCACGGGACCCAGTCATGAGCAGAGGAGGAGGCGGATCTAGTGACCCTGTGTCTTGGTCAGCTCAGGCTGCTATAACCAAATACCACAGAGCAGGCGGCTTAAGCCACGGACATTTGTCTCCCACACTTCTGGAACGGCCAAGATCAAGGTGCCCGCAGATTCGGTGTCTGGTGAGGGCCCCCTTCCCAGTTTGCAGACACCCACCTTCTTGCCGTGTCCTCCCATGGCAGAGATGGGGAGGCGCTGGTCCTCTCCTCTTCTTACAAGGGGCTCCATCTGCATGAGCTAATCACCCCCCCAAAGGCCCGCCTCCAAATACCAAATGCCATTCCACCAGGGGTTAGGGTCTCAGTGCAGGAGCTGGGGGCGGGGGTGGGAACATTCAGTCCACAGCGCCTCGTATCAATGCCAAGGCCTGGAATGGTTCCCGGGGGGGGGGGGGGGGGGGGGGGGGGGAAGGGGGGGGGGATTTGGGAAACACAGGGGGGATAAGGGAATGGGAACTAAAGTGTTGTGCCTTAGGGCCCGAGGACATGGCCCTCTGGGTCAAGCCCAGTATGGGGGGGGTCCCAGGCTGTGGGAGACCCCCTTCCAGCAGCAGCAGCTGCCTCTGGCGACAGTGGCAGAAGCAACAAGGCAGTAGAATGCAGCCTGCTGGTGGGCCTCTCTCTGCAAGGCATATGGAGCTGGGTCTGGCCCTTTAACTTATTTTTAATTGACTTTAATTTAGTTAATTAAGCTCTATGCCCAACGTGGGGCTCGAACTGAGACACCAAGAGCAAGAGTCGCACACTCTACCGACGGAGCCAGCCAGGGGACTTCCCGCTAATCTGACCCATGAGGTCTTGAACAAAACTTTGAATATGAAAAACACAGGTCCCCTTAGTTGTCCTCCAAGCTGGTGAAGCCTGTCGTGGGGACAGCAATACATGTGTTCTGTGCCCCCTCCTCGATAGCGTGATGCAGAGAAGCACTGAACACATTGTGGAGGGAGAGAAGAGCCAGGCTTCCAGTCTGGTTTCCAACGGGCTATAGGCGAATCACCTTGGTCAAGTCATTTAACCTCTGAGACTCAGTTTCTCTATCTATAAAATCACAATCAGCTCACCTACCCAGTAAGGGTCATTGGACGGATTGAGAGAGAGTTGTTATAAAACACCGAGCCCCTAATAGACCCTCAATAGGTGGGTTCCTGCCTTCCTTCAAGACAGGCACTGGGGCACTGGGTGGCTCAGTCGGTGAAGTGTCCAACTCTTGATTTGGGCTCAGGTTATGATCCCGGCATCCTGGGATCGAGCCCCGTGTCGGGCTCCACACTCAGCACGGAGTCTGCTTGTCCCTCTCCCACACACTCTCTCTCTCTCAAACAGATGAAGAAAATCTTAAAAAAAAAAAAAAAAAAAAAAAGGCACCATATTGTGTTGTAGAACCTCAACAGGACAACATAGAATTTAGCAGACAGTAAGGCCTTGGCAAAGGCTCATTGATTTGATACCTGGATTCCCCCATATTTACACACCCTCAGGATGGAAGCACACATCCCACCGACTTGGGGCCGAGAGGTTGTTGAGCGCCGATGGAACGAAAGGTGTATTCTTTTGACCTTGCCCTTCTCTTGGCCTAGAGGCCACATCCCCATACTCACTGTCCCGGACGACTTGTCTTCCCATGCCTCCTGCCCAGCTGGGTCTGTATGGTCACCAGCTGGGCTGTTCTGTGTTTCTTGCTCCGTCTTTGCTGCTTCTCACCAACACCGAGCCACTTGGGGATCCGTGCCCCCATGGTGTCCTGCATCCCCCTTGGGTCCTCCCTGAGGACCCCCAGTCTGCTCACCATTTTGGCCCTGTCCGTGTCACCACCGGCTGAAGTATCCAGAGTCTTTCCAGAGTCTTTTCTTTAAAGCTTCAAAATATATTTATTTCAATTTCAGTGGTATGATTGTATTTGGAATTCCTTCCATGAACCTCCATCATATTTTCTGCCTCTTCTGCGAAGTCTGTCGCCTTTTGCCTTGGATTCACTTTTTTGTGCATTTGTCTCAAACTTTATTTTTATCAAAGTGTAATTGACATATGACATTATATTCGTTTCAGGTGGACGACGTCAGGATTCGATATTTGTAGATCTTGCAAAGTGATCACTACAATAAATCTAGGTAACATCTGTCAGCATACATGGCCACAAAAATTTCTTTCTTGTGATGAGAACTTGTAAGATCTGCTCTATTCACCACTTAGAAATATGCCATGCAGTGTTATTAACTATCGTCATCATGCTGTGTATTACATCTCCATGACGTACTTATTTTGTAACTGAAAGTCCATAACTTTTGACCCCCTTCACGCATTTCACCTACCACCCACCCCACCTCTGGCGACCACCCATCTGTCCTCTGTATCTATGAGCTCATGAGCTCCTTTCTGTTTTTTAGATTCTACAAATAAGGGACATCATACTGTATTTGTCTTTTTTTCTTTTTTTGTGTATTTGCCTTTCTCTGTCTGGCTCATTCCACTAAGTGTAATGCCTTTTCAAGGTGTAGCCATGTTTTTGCAAATGGCAAGATCAAAAGTCTTCATTGATTTGAGGAAATGACTTTTTTTTTTTAAACACACAGCTGCGTAACTTATGAAAACTACAAATGTTCATGTTGGAAACTGTGGTAGGTTTGTTTTTCATGTCTGCATAGGTTGTACTTCTGATGTGGAATTTCTGCTTTAAGTGTTTCTAACAGGTCATAACAGGTTAATTTGGTCTTAAACGTGTTCCTCACGGCCCCCCCACTCCCCCTGAACCCAGAAAGTGCTGATAAGGAAGAGTTCATTTGTTCCTAAAACAAACCTAAGGTTTTATTCTACCAGTGGGAACATGACCCTCTGTTTTTTGAGGTCCTTCAATGTTTGCAGTAAAAATACAATTAATCAAGTGCACTGAAATGGCCTGTTTGTTTAAGGATTTAGCACCTCCCTTGAACAACAAGCCATATTGTTTCATTGAGAACCGTCCTCTTGTTAAGCACAGTAGAATATCTTCATTTCATTCCTGAACAGGATCCAAGACAAAAACACCAGTTGTAAGATCCAAAAAAAAAAGTTATTGTCAATTGGATTGAATTTTAAAGAACTCATTTGGCGTTTTGTGTGTTTGTGAATTGTTCTCTTTCCCTGCACCAAAACAGAAATCGGGGTCCCACTGTGGGAGCTGGTGGGAGCACCCAGCAGTCACCCGTGGTAGGGAAGCCTTCGGCCCCAACAGGCAGAAAAAGACCTGGAAAAGAAGAAAGAGGGTGACAAAATCCAAATCAAAGTTGAAAGCCGCCCAGTGAACTTTTGTTCCTTTCATCCAGGCGTCTGGGGACAGAGAAACAAACCGCTAAAAATACAACAAAAGCTCGTTTGATGGGGAAGGCCCTCCTCCACCTTCTGGATCAGGACACCTGATGGTATGGGGTCTTCAGCCTGAGGAAAGAAGGAATTTCTCGTCCCAGAAACTGAAGGGGTGGTCCTGAGGGGTCCTGAGAGGGGCAAGTTCATGGCCAACACTCTGAATGGGGGTCACTGTTCAAAGCAGTGATCCCATGGTGTGCCGGCCTTGTCTGCCAAAACGGACCTACTGCCCACGAGAAATGTAATCAATTGGGATCCAAAACTGGAATCTGTTACTACCACTCTTGCTGGATGCAGTCCTCACTTGTGGGGTTTTACGACTTCATCCTAATTTGTTCGCACAGGAATTTTTGTTGGTGGATTTGGTTATTTTGTGGCATTGCAGATTTTCCGCGGTGACCGTGTATTTTATGGGCATCCACGCCCGAGGGGAGCAATCTTCATTTGCTAGGGCTACTGTAAGCAAGTAGCACAGGCTGGGGGGCTTGAACAGCAGAAGTGTAATTCCTGGGCGCCTGGGCGGCTCAGTCGGGTTAAGCATCTGCCATCGGCTCAGGTCATGGTCCCGGGGTCCTGGGATCAAGTCCCGCATCTGGCTCCCTGCTCAGCAGGGAGACTGCTTCTCCCTCTGCCCCTCTCCCCGCCCGTGCATGCTCTCTCTCTCTCTCAAATGAATAAACAAAATCTTTAAAAAAAGAAAGAAATGTAATTCCTCACAGTCCTGGAGGCTGGAAGTCCAAGATCAAGGTGTCATCAGCAGGGCTGGCTCCTTCCAAGGGCAATGAGGAAGGCTGTGTTCCAGGCCTCTCTCCCTGGCTCGCAGGTGGTGGTCTCCCCGGTGTCCTCACATCATCTTCACTCCTGTGTATCTGTGTCCAAACTCCCCCCCCCCACACACACACCTAGCTACAGTTTACCCAGGTGGGCAACCGACAGGTAATATTTGTGTAATTTTTATCAAGTGTTGGAATTGTACTGCCTTAATTAAAATAATGTGGAGATTTTTCCTCTTTTTCTGTGCCCTGGAACACTATCCAAAAATCTCCTCTGTTAGAATTTTTTGTGAAATCGGCAGAGTCTGAGGCTTCGGGGGAAGCTACTGACTCACTGAAAATTTTCTGTATTTCTTTTATAAAAGCCCCTGTTTATATTTTCTCTCTTCTGGGATCTTTCTGGCAAATAACATTTTCCCAGAAAATAATCCACCTTTTCAAATTTGGTTGTTGTTTTTTTAATGAACGATAAATGAATTAGCTTATATCCTCAACTTTCCTCTTTCTGTCTCCCAACCCTACCACCAAACTTTCATGTTAGTTCTGTGATAAACACATTCAATATGCAGTACCTTCCTTTTACTAAAATGTACCCGCTTATTCCTGAGTTGACCCAAGTTCATCCTCTAGTGATCTCTTCAAGGAGAGCTCATGAGACTATTCTCAAATCATACATGTCCAAAAGTGTCTATGGTTTAGAGAATTAAAAGACAAATCACAGACCCGGAATGGGGGGATTTGCAAAACATATATCTGATAAGAGACTTCTATTCAAAATTTATAAAGAGTTGGGGTATCCGGCTGGATCAGTCAGTGGAACGTGAGACTCTTGATCTTGGAGTTGTAAGTTTGAGCCCCACATTGGGTGTAGAGATTACTGAAAAATAAAATCTTTAAAAAAAAGTTCACAAAGAGCTCCTAAAATTCAACAATAAGAAAACAAACGACCCAATTGAGAAATGGGCGAAACATCTGAACAGTCACCTCACCAAAGACGTGCAGGTGGCAGGTAAGCGTATGAAAAGATGCTCACATCCTATGTCACGAGGGCACTTAAAATTAAAACACCAGTGGGACACCACTGCACACCTATTAGAATGGCTAAAATCCAGAACACCGACAACAGAAGTTCTCATTCACTGCCACTGGGAATGCAACATGGCTCCGCCACTTTGGAAGAAAATTTGGTCATTTCTTACAAAGCTAAATGTAGACTGACCATACAATCCAGCAGTCACATGCCTAGGTATTTATCCAAATGAGTGGAAAACTGATGTCCACCCAAAAACCTGCCTGTGAATGTCTATAGCAGCTTTATTCATAATTGTCCCAAACTGAAAGCAAGCAAAGTATCCCTCAAGAGATGAATGGATAAGCAAACTGGGGTGCTTCCACCCAATGGAATAGAAAAAAAAAATGAGCTATTAAGCAACCAAAAGCCATGGAGGAAATTTAAATACATATTGCTAAGAGAAAGAAGCCACTCTGGAAAGGCTACACACCATAGGGTTCCAACTATATGACATTTTGGAAAAAGCGAAACTATTTTGAGACAGTAAAAACACCAGTGGTTGCTGGGAGGAGATAGGGGAAGGAGGACAGAAAACTGTGGCCTTTTTGTAAAATCCTGACTCCCCTTGTTTCCTTGAGAATCTTGTGCCACCTCTGCCGGCGCTGGTTGTGGATCTGTGGACATCCAAGCCTGGCCTGATCTTTACCCCCTTGAAAGTGGCTTGACCCTTTTATTCCTGGCTGCTGAAAAAATTCCTTATTTTTAAAATTCAACATGCTTGATCAGTTTTCCCTGGCCTATAGTTTTCTCTTTCAATATATAGATTCATCTGAGGAAAACTTTCTTGAATTATTTATTGAAATGTGTGTATGTTCTACCAATTGGTTGGGGTTTCTTCTTCAGAGATTTTAACTATGTGTATGTTAGACCTCTTTGCATGTCATATGTAGAATACAGGACATGTCTATGTATAATATAGAGATATATATTTTACATACATATATATGTAATTTCTCTCTCATTCTTTTTAGCTCTACCTTCATTCCCATTTCATTTGCTCACTTTCATCCCCTCTACTTGTTATGTCCGGTACAGTATATTCCACAGGGTCTGTTCCCCCTCATGCTCCTTCCAACTGCATTTTTATTTCTCTACTGTTTGTGATATTCATCTCCCATTTCCTTCAGTGACTGAGCAGCTCTCACGTCATGTCTCCTGTGGTCTCACAATCTCTTCTCTGAGCCCTTGCATTTCCGCCCTAGGACCTCCCCTCATGAGGCTGCTCACTTGACTAATGTTCCTAATTCGGACCAAAGCGTCTAGTCACTGTCTTCAACCACTCCAAGGCACATTTTTTCGGGAGGGCATTCTTCATCTATTCAAGAGTCTTACGGCCATTTTCCACATTTGTCTCTCTGGGTGTCTCTCAGCAAGGCCATGCCAGTTCCTTGCTTAGACAGAATGGGTTGGATTGTCCTCGGCCAACTCATGGCACAGCGGCCTTCCCAGCATCACAGCCCAGAGGCGCTCTCCTCGGCTGTTTCCTCTGGATAAGACTCAATTGTGGGATTTTTAAAAAACATTTTATTTATTTATTTATTTATTTATTGTGAGAAAGAGAGAGAGTGTGTGTGGGCACAGGGGGAGGGGCAGAGGGAGAGGAAAAGAGGATGACTCTCTGCTGAGAGGGAAGCCCAACCCGGGGCTCCCCTCAACTGTGGGATTTTTTGTAGGACCCCCAAACCCTGAAAGCTGCAGCCCCTACCCCCTCTTGCCATGCCCCCATTTCCCTTTCTCCTAACCCCAGGTTCGGCCTTGGCCGATCTTGGAGTCTGTGCATATGTCTAGTTACCAGCTTCACTGAAAATGGAATTTCTTTCTTTCTTTTCCTTTTTTCCATTCTCCTTACTCCTTCTGTATGCTTTACGGACCACGAGTTTAAAGCCGACTTATGCAGACGTGTTCCTGTTGGGGACGCGAAGATGTTCACAGGACTGCGGCTGCTGTGGCTGTGGGCTTGCGGACAGGTGGGCCTGGGGGAGCGGCGCCAACATGCAGAGGACAGGGAGGGTCTCGGAGGGTCTTAGCTGCCTGCAGTTCCTGCCAGGAGTGTCAAAGATCAGCTCCCTCCCTGCCCTGCTGGGGTTTGGTTTCATGAGTCAATAAATTCTTGTTGCTTCTGTCACACACACCCCACCGCCCCCCGACCCCCTCCCGGGAGTTCTGACTAATGCAAGAAGTAGCCACACTCTCCGGTAACCTTGACCTTGGGTGCCTGGCTTCTCCATGTCCTGCTGCCCCAGCCTGGCACCTAACACAGCATCTTGTCCCACAACAGGGGCCGAAAATAGGCCTTTGGGAGGGGCTAGCGTCACACAGGCAGGACGTGAGGACCCAGCCGCTGAGCCTGCCTTCCCCACCATGTCTTGCGGCCCCGCGCTCCCTCCCATTCCGTAACATCATTTCCAGGCCGGCTGCGGTGCCCAACGCTGCAATGCAGGCGCTGGGCCTGCAGAAAAGGGATTTCAGGGGCGCCTGGCTGGCTCAGATGGTTAAGCGTCTGCCTTCCGCTCCGGTCATGATCCCGGGGTCCTGGGATCGAGCCCCACATCGGGCTCCCAGCTCAGCAGAGAGCCTACTTCTCCCTCTCCGTCAGCTCCTCCCCATCGCTAGTTCTCTGTCTCAAATAAATAAATAAAATCTTTTAAAAATAAATAAATAAATTCGCCAGTAGAATGAGCCTGCACAAACCCCTAAGCCCCCGCCCTTGACCCCAATAAAATCCCCGGCCGCGCATGCTCTCACTGCATCTGCCGCCTCGCTGCGTGGCCCCAGGTGTGCTGTGTAGTCTCCGAGTCATTTGTAAGCAATAAATCTTTATTTTTTCAAGGTTTCCTGATGGTTGTTGCCGAAGGGCATCTTGCAATCATAGCAAGAACCACGACGGTCGGTCCAGCCATAACACCGATCTGAAAAGGGGGACCCATCGATAATTGTAGCAGGATGTCTAGAGGGGGCGTGACTCGGGAGGGAGAGGACGCACGTGGGTGGGTGCAGAGGAGAGCCCCGCCCCGGAGCGGGCAGGTGGGTGACAAGGGAAGGACAGTGCGACAGAGCCGTCTGAGCCCCTGCGATGTCCCTGAGAGCCGAGCCCCTGCACATGGCCGGGACCAGTCGGGCAGCCTCTGGAGGAAGACTTGAGCCGCTGGGCCTTGCAGATTTGCTGAGAAGCAATGGTGCCCGGGGCAGGAATCCGGGCCTTCTGCAGAAGTGTGACCTCCCGGCCGTGCTCCAGGCGCATCCTCCGGATGGCAGGTGGGTTTAATTTTCCAGGCGGGTGGAAAGTTGCCGACAAGAGAGTGGGAGGCAGATTTGTTTCTCCTTCAGTTTGCAGTTCTCACTGGCTACATCCAAGCTCACCGTCAGTGAGTAGAGAAGGACACGCGGAAAATCCCTAAAAGCAACCGGCTACTTAATGAAGTCAAGAGCAAAACTGAGGAGGTGGCACCATGCGTGAGGACCAACGTCCCAGTGATGGGGGGATTTTCACAGAGGCTGTGGGCTGGGTGCGGCATCCCAAAGGGGACAGTTTCAGGTCCATCATTCCTGGGTGGGTTTTACCCTTTCCTCTTCCGTCAGGAGGTGTCACGTTCTTCCAACCAGCGGCCTGCTCACTCATGAGACACGGCTTCTCCCTCTCTCCCCCGGCCCTCCTCCCTGCCGTGGCAGGTGGAATGGCTTCCTATAGGCATTGGTGGGTACCGGTGAACCAATGTAGCCCTAAGATGCACTC